TTTCCCATCCAACACCCCCGCCACTTTATCGGTCGGCCATTTCCCACGCTTTCGTTGCATGCGATAAACCCAGCCTTCCTTCCTTCCTTCCTCTCCCCCGCCCGCCATCATGGCGACGGTCTCAACCGCCCCATCGGACCTGCCTCTGGAGCAGCTTTCCTTATACCATGCCTCCGATCCCTATTTATCGTCCATCTTCATCTTCTACGGTCCCGTCGCAACTGCAAATGCCACCGTCAGCAGTTCGCGCATTCAGGCGCATATCCTCACCCCCGCCGGCTTCCAAAGCTACCCGCGCATCACCGTCTCCCCCGCCGCCCCCTTATACGCTGCGGTCAACCACTTGCCCAGAGAAAAGCAAGGCGATGAAGTCAGTCGTGGTCTCGCCGTCAGTATGCTGAAGTACTTCGCAGAGCTGTCGGACCCCGCCAAGGAGTGCTTGCAGACCTTCGCCCGCGCCGGGAAACCGGGGCTCCGACTGCCCAAGCTCTTTGATGAAATGCACGCGGCGGAAATAGCAAATCGCATGACCAAAATAGAACATACCGCCGACATTGTGCGCGACATTCGTGGTGCTTTCCAAGAGCGCAAGGTTCCTTGGGTGGATATCGATGTGGTCCTCCCCGCCGGTGTCATCCAGCCTCCTGCCCCGCCTGATAACGATGATGATGATGTTCATGATGGTAATGCGGATTTGTACGATGCCCCCGATCTTCAATACGGTCGCTATACATCTCTGGTACGATCCCTCGGAGCGCCCATGTTCCTCCCCACTTCCCGACTGAAGCGCGCCCCGTCGCAACCGACCAACCTGAGCAAGTCCCGGCTCTTCTCGAAGGGCCAGAAACAAGCTCTGCGCTTGACCATGTGCGAAGTGGTGGATACGGAGGAGAGATATGTGAACAAGCTCTACACTTTGGTGTGTCATGTGGCGGAGGAGTTCCGGTTAAAGGCCCAGGCCAGAGGCCCATCGAGCACCAGCCCCAATGAGTCCGATCTGGCCACGCTCTTTCCACCATGCTTGAATGAGATTCTTGAGGTCAACATGGGCTTTCTAGGGGTGATTCGACAGGTTCTCGAGGAGACGGAAAAAGAAGCCATTGATGACCTCACCGATGATACAGAACTGCCCGGGTCGGTGTCGCAACGATCTTTCTCGCGGGAGGAAACGGATGCGATTGGCGCAGTGGCCTTTGCCAACGCGCTCCTAGACTGGTTTCCCCGATTTTCCCAGCCGTACGCTGATTATATGCGGGCTCATACCGGCTTCACGCAGACGCTCAATTCATTTATGAGAGACAAGCACTCGAGCTTCTCGAAGCGCGTCTACGAAACCGGAGAGCAAAAGCTGCGCTCCCTCCTCATGGAGCCGGTGCAACGTCTTCCTCGCTATAGTCTCCTGATCGACACGATGACCGGCAGTCTCCCTCTGGTTCACCCGGCCGTCCGACCACTATTGAAAGCGCGCGATGTTATCAAGGACATTTGCTCGCTGGATGACGGTTCGTCAACGAACCACGACCAGAGCTTCCGACGGTTGAAAGAGCTGGTGGACGGATGGCCCTCTACGATTCTACCGACCGGCCGCCTGATCACCGCCGTGGATTTCAACGAGCTAACCCCGCCCTATCATCTCGATGTCCCACCCATCGAGCCCAGCGCGGGCATTATGCTAATTTACAAGAACTGTCTGGTATTACTATCGAAGCCGGTGGGTGCGAAGACCACAGCGCGTGGTCTCCTGGCCGATCTGGATAACGCCGCCGCGGCAACCAATACCGCACCCAATTCGCCCGCCTCATCCGAACTCCGAGTGGTGCAAGTATACGACTTGCACACCGTGCGATGTACGCAGTCCACGTGTGGTCGGATTTTGTTCTTGGCCCCGGCATCTGCCACCTCAAGACCCGACCAGAACACGACAGTGGACTTGCTTGCACTCGAGCCGGTGTCCATGTACGAAGGCCGTGCGAGCCGAATCATAGAGGAGATTGCAAAAGCCAAGATCGAAGGCCGATTCTCTGAAAGCGAGCGCGAAAGTGGCAAGTGGTCGCTGCGCAGCCCCACCGGTACAGTGGGAAATCTCGGGATCCTCGCATGTGTGTTTGAAGAAGCGCCGGAAGAGGCCGCGCAGAGAGCCAATCTGTCGAAGATCCGGGTGATTTTCGATACTCCTAGGGCAGAGTGCAGCCAAAAGTTGAAAGAGTCCGACTTGGAGGTGATAGTATCCGTGTCTCTGGCCAATGAAGACCAATACCGGGTGGATGTTGATTCCGTAGTCGGCACTGCCTCCTCAGACATGGTCACCGTGGATAGTTTCGTGCCCGTGTTATCCAAGCGCTGTAAGTACTCGCCAATTGACCGATACACTGATATGAATACTGACTCTGGCAGTGCTAAATGTGCTCCTCCCTCTCCATGGACCTCGAAATCGAACGATGACGGAGTCGATCGTACATTCCAACTTTGACATTCTTCGGTACCTTGCCGGCCACCTCATGGCTCAGTTTAAGGTTCCCCGTGGCTTCCGCCCCCCTTCGCCCTCAAAATTGCTCTCCAGCCTTCTCGGGGGGAGTCAGCCCAAGGACAGCAATGCATCCGGCTCCAAGGCACCGACTTCGGCGACTCTACTGGGAGAGTACCCTAAAATGCCTCCACCCCGAGGCAACATGTCGCGCTCTAACACACTGCCTTCGGTGTTTCCTGGAAAGGAGGAGAGCCCGGTCAAGATCTCAGTGGTGGGCGCTCCACCGACCAAGGGCGAGGAAAGTCCATTTAGTGCGTTGGAGCAAACATTTGCTGCTTATGCACTCGCACTGCAGTCTCGGAGTGGGAACATTGTCGGACGATCTCTTCGCGGGAGGGATAATGTCGATCGGTCGTCGGTCAATGAGCTGTACAACATTCTGCTGGAAGACCCTGGACGGATCCAAGCAGCAGCTGAAGTTCCCGTCGACACGCTTTTCGTGGCCTTCGAGACGTTCATGACCAATGCGTGGAGGGAACACATGGGCCCCGTTGTCGACTCCCCGTCGCTAAGGATTCTGCAAGCGCAATTTGACAACATGTTCCCGCGGGACTTTGACGAGAGTTTCCGACGGTTTTTGGCAGACCAGAGTCCCCAGAATCGTCGTGCGCTGGCTTCCATGATCCGGCTGCTGGCGGAGCTGCTGGATGCCTCGGGTAGTGATGGTGATCGGGGAGCCTTGACTGCGGCCTTTGCAGAAGTTCTGACTATCGACGGCGACCCAATGCAGCACATCTCTCTGCTGGACCGACTAGTGGATGACTTTGACAACCTGTTCGATGAATACATTCCTGGTGGTGCTTCATTGGAAGGGACTCTCAACTGCGACCAAACAAAGTCGGTTTCCCAGACTGCAGGTTCCATGAATTCGAACGCATCCTCCTTCCGGAAGCGTTTCGGCTTCGGTCTGCACCGAGAAAACTCTAAGCTGGAGGGCGAAAGCAAGGTCTCGTCTATTCTCCGGACACTGAGCAAGGGTAAGGGCTCGGGTGACTCAGAGCCCGGTACGCCAAAGGGGTCGCTTCTACGGTCCAAGTCGATCGACATCGATACCAGTCTAGGATCTTTGTTACGACCGGGCTCCCGAGACCGCCCCGGTGCATCCCTCTCCCAAGAACATCTTCGACGACCAGGTAGTTCTCAGGAGCAACCACCGTCTCTGTCCTCCGTTCGTGGGATCCCGACAAATACAAATGGAGTGGTGAAAGTGCGCCGCAAGAGAAGAAGTTCCCTCTCAGACCTGCGACCCGGCACTGCCTCTTCCGATGTATCTATTGTGTCTAGTGTGGGACAACGACCTGCAACTCCGTCATCTATTTCCAATCAACCCCGGGCCGATGTGGCGACTCCTGCTGGACAGGCGCGACCGCAGACTAGTCATGGCTCAGGTTCTACCGTCCGAAGCACATCACCGGCCAAGGGTGGCTCTCCCACCCGGATGCCTTCGCCAACCCGCCGATCACCGACACGCCCAGTGACGCCCAGCCGAAAAGAAAATATCGATCCCAAAATGCCGCAGACGGAACGCGCCACGAGAAGAAAAGGCGAGGCCTCGGTGTCTCCTACGCAAGAGGCCAAGAGAAGGTCACGCGCTACAAGCATTCCCTCGTCTCGGGCCCCTGGTCTGAAGGAGAGACCGCTTCAAGTCAACGGCTCTGATGCGAGACGCCTGCAACCGACGTCTTCTCAGAAGACCCCCAAACTGCGGTTGCAGAGTCCCCAAAAGGTAAGCATGTCCATCGCTTGATGTACGATATATGGGAGACATGACGACTAACATTAATGGCACAGCTTCGGGATCGCCTTAATAGTGAAAAAAGAGCACAGAACATGGCGCAGCTAGGTCTCAAGGATGAGCTCGATCTCATTGGTGAGGAACTACGGGCGATGAGACTTACTCCATCGTTAGTCAGAGGTGACGCACAAGGGCACGAGTCCCTTGACGAGCCATTTGCCTCGCCAACCGCGAATTCGTTCTTGGTGTCCCGCGTCCACAACCTCGAGATGAAGTTTGAAACGCTATCCGGGGAGTTCAATGGCCGCACCGCGGCGATTGAAAAGGATCTGGAGTCGTCTCTGGTGGTCAGCGAGAAACGTGCTAAGAAGCTCGACGAACTTTATCGGGAAGCCAGCGCTGAAAACGAAGCTCTTTACGATCGATTCAACTCCGAACTGAGCAAAATCGCTAAAGATGTGAGAGCTGGAAATGTCGAGGAAGCGCTCAAAACACAACTGTCGTCGGCCCTGGAGGAGATTGGCCGGCTGAAGAAGGAAAATTTCCGGCTCAAACGTGAAGTGGGAGGGTTACGCGCGCAACAAGCCGCGGTGGCCTTATTGAAGGCAAGTGAGTGAGCGCTGCATGGTAGCAGGGCTCGCATTATTGACGTACATTTTCATTATTCTAATGTTTTTGTTTCTTTCCTGGAATATCTTCGAACTGGATATGAGTGTATGCCTGTTACTGGAGATGGCCTTTCTTTTCCTTCGTTCTTTTCTTTCTTGGAATCTATTCTGCGGTGGTTTTGGCGTCTGAGCCATGGTGATGCTCAGGAGCGTCGTTCATTTATTCCGCACTGTGCATAACACTTCTCTTTCCTTTGTGTCGTGGCATAGCCTGCGGGTCTGCTTGGCTATTCTGGACTGCATCCGACGGGGTTTGCTTCGGGTTGGCGGGTCATGCATGTCGATTCCTTCCTTTCCTATTCTCTGTGATATCTTCACTTATGCGTACATTCCTTGTCTGGAAATCTCTTTGTAGCATAGCTTAGCTAGTTCTTCAACCAACCCATCCGTTCCAACGGTTCCCGATCAATCATCTTATACATCCACTTCCACCGGACACTACATGACATTGACTTTAGAGTATCTTCAGCTTCAGGCAACCACATCTCTATAGTCGGCAACGCCAACGGCACCTCCTTCCCTCCATCTCCAACATACACCAACAACGGCAAAGTAAAGCGAACCAACCCCGGCGCATCACGTCCCAACCGATCCATCAATACTCTCATCTCCTCTTTAGACGCAGCCATGCGAATCCCCTTCAAATCAGACTTTTGTAACGGCCGCACAACCAGCGACAGCGACATCGGTCCTGCACCTGCCCCTGCCCCTGCCCCTGATGAAAGTGGTATACTCGTCCCCGCAACTCGGAACCAGTACCTGTTATCCCAGAGATGCCAGTCCGATGCACTGATGGGTTTTTGGGAAGTTTCTGTGTTCCCGCTGTGCTGGGTTGAATAGCATGAGGATGAGGATGAGGTTGACGATGAGGGTGGGTAGATAGGCACAGTGACGGGAAGAATAGGAAGACGGTTCCGCATGTATGGTTGGCGGGTAAGGAGGTAGGTATTTTCATAGTTTGTGATATCAGGTGTGGTTGTGGTGGTGGTTGAGGAAGGGGGTGGTGAGGAATCGCATCGAAGAGGCCGGAACATAACGCCGCCTAGCGTGAAAGATTGTTGCTTTGCTGGGGTATTTCCTCGTTCTTGTGATATGGAAGAAGGAGGAGAAGAAGAAGGGAAAACACGAGAAACGAAAGGCTCGAAACTCCGCAGCGGGAAATGGTTCTCCGGGAATGGGGAGATGAGTTCGGTGATGCGTCGGAGGGTTAGGGATGATGCGTCTTTATTCATTTCAGTTGGGGTGGGTTTCTTTGATGGTGATGGGAACTTGATAATCAAACACCCCGTATCCGGCGCGAACTCGAGGACCTCGCACCGCTCAAGAATCTCATTCGAGTTCTCCGTCACGCACCTCAGAAGCGAATTACTCTTTCTCATCAATGAAAGGATAGATTCTTCGCGCAGCGCACGTGGGAGTTTCTTCTCCGCGAGGAGACTCCTGATGGCATTTCTGGGAGTCAAGGTTGGGTCGAAGTTTGTTGGATCGTCGACGTAGGGGATGTTGTTTTCTTTGCATGTTGCGAGGAGGGATCGTTTGGGGAAGGACAGGAGGGGGCGGGTTATGGAGATGCCGCCTGTTGATATTTGGTACTGCTTTTGTTGGTCCTGGGTTGTGGGGGTGGGTGGTGATTCTGTAAGCCTTAGTTCGTTGGTGTTCGTTGTCTTGATGCGATAATTATTATGATTTGCCGGTTTCGATAATGTCATTGAAGATCCACTCTCCGCAACCCCAAACAACCCATGGCATTCAGGAATGCGCGTCACCGCTGGAATTCCCGCTAGTCCGGCGCCCCTTGCCCCCGTGCAGAGACGCCAGAGGGTCGTCTCGACGTTGTCGTCTTGGTGATGGCCCATGAGGAGGGTCTCGATGCTCCGTGCTCGACAGGCCTGCCCGAGAGCTTGGAAGCGCAGACGCCGGGCGTGGGTTTCGAAGGCGGATATGGAGTGGAATGGCCAGGTTAGGGGGAGGATTTGTGTCGTTAGGCCTGTTACTGTGGTTAATATATGATGGAATGTTGAGATGTATGGGAGTGATATACCCATATCGTCAAGCCAGCCTGCAACCATGTTCGCTTCGCGAGTACTCTCCTCGCGGGCTTTGTGGTCCACAACGAATGCTGTCACGGAGACGGTATCGTTGCTTGTTTGCCTCTGGGTTAGTTCCCATTGTTTGCAGAGGTAGGCGAGGGCCATGGAGTCGGCGCCGCCGCTTATGGCGAGGCCTGGTGCGTTTCAGTTTGGGGTTTGAGGTAGGTGCAGGGGAGGGAGCAAACCGATTCTGCGTGGGAGATGAGGGTCATATTTCCGCCCTGTTCTGGCTGGTCGTGACTCCAGCCATATGCGCTGGAAGGAGTCGATGAAGTGTTTGACAGTTAAGGGGCCGGGGGATGTGTGGCGGAGGAGATGGGATGATGCCATTGGTGATGATCTAATTAATTGAGATGAAGCCAGGTGCTATGAAGAGAAGCATGAGGTAATTGTATCTGATACTATGAATATTTAGTTCTACTGTTTGTGGATTGTAGGAATAGACATACGGTACAGGGGAATTCAATTAAGCGATGAGGACGGCTTGGATGATTGCCGTTTTTGAACCAGCAACTGGCATGCGGATTCAAATTGAATCTCTATATGGGTATATACTGTTACAAGAGCCCGATCGGCATGGCTGTTGGGGTAATAGATACGAAAAGCTCTATTAGAGGGCAGGATGTATATTGATGTTAATCCGGTCGACTTCTGTCAACCAATTAAACTGAGAGTCACGTGATTTTGTCATCGGGAAAATGAAATTCCGACACTTTCAAGGAATATGTTATGAGGAAATATAGTGAAGTAATGCATTGTCGTTGCTTTGTTCTCGATGGCTTGAAGAAAGATAGGATCATCTGTGAGACACAAATTGAAGGTGTATCTGAATAGTGAAATGTAGTAACGTGCGTATGCCGTTGTTGTGCGAAAATATACTACCTGTTGATGATCCGAGGTACTAGTACAGAATATATTTCTGCTGGTGTGACATCCCCGATGACCACAGGCACGGTGTTGATCTCACACATTGGCGCTCTTGTCAGACTGGAGTTGGTCGGCTTCCTCTATACAGTCTACATCATCTTCTTGAGCCGAGCGAGTATTGACCCATGGGATACCAGCGGCGAGAATGAATGCGAGAGCGCTACCAGCTATTGGAAGATACTGTATTATTATTGTTAGTAACCCGATAAAAGTATAGATAGAACTGGGGGTCAACTGACAAATATAGTCGTAATGGCTTTATTGTATGCATTAATGATATCAACTAAGCGGTCCGGAAATGCTTGCACAGCAACTTCCCGTACCCTTAGGGTTCCAGCATTCAAAAGCATCTCGATCTGCTTATTGTCCAACGACGCTTGAACTTGTAGCTGCTTCTTCAGCTCGTTCTGGAAGATAGCGCCCCCTATACTTTGCATTACTGCACTTCCGAAGTATTGCGTGAAAAGAACAGTAGCTATCCCAACTGGAATGTACCGCGGTCTGTCCTTCAATACAAGCTGAACTGTAAGCAAGGGAATCTGGGCTGCAAATCCACAGCCCAGGCCCTGAAAGATCTGATAACCAATCCAAGATGCAGACGATGAAGATGCAGTGAATGTCGTATATAGACCGTTGGCGATGCAGAGAAAGACAGAGCCAACGAAGAGCCACGGATTGTAATATCTGAGGTGTTTGGCTATAGTCATAAAGCGTCAGAAAGAATGTACATAGACGAAGTAAATTATTCGGTGTTTACCTGAAATTCCACAGACAAGTGAACCAAAAACCTGAGTGCACACCGAAGGTAGAAGCATGACTCCGCTGCGGATAGGGCTTGCTGACTTGACGATTTGAAACCATTCCGGTAGATAGTAGACCGGAATGACGAATGAACCCAGAAACAAAAAGGCAAATGCAATACTAAACATTGTGGACCTGCCCCACAGAAGTACAACGGGGACCATGGCCTCATCACCCATGTAGCACTCCCAGCAGATGAAGATTGTCATCGTCACGGCAAAGCCGACAAAAAGTCCGACCACGGTCGCGGAGTTCCAGGAATATTCATCACCTCCCCACTGCAACGCCAACATCACCATTATGACAGAGGGTATGAAGAGAGCGCATCCAATCAAATCAAGTTGTTTCAAGAAGGACACACCTTGTGTCCCAGTGTTTTGAGGAGGATGAAAAAACAAAAGCAACGTCACGACAGTCACTGCTCCTGCTGGAAGGTTGATGAGAAAACACCACCTCCAGGTATGTTCAGCTAGAGCGCCTCCGATGATTGGGGCGACAACAGTCCCCAAAGCATAGAGAGATGTCACCAGCCCAGTAAACAAGGGGCGCTGCTCCGGAGTAGTTATCAGCGCAATGACTGAGAGACCACCCGATACTACCCCAGACCCTCCAGCACCAGCAACTGCTCTTCCGATTATGAACAATTTGGAACTGTTTGCCACACCGCATATCAGAGATCCTAGAAGAAATATGCCATAGAAAGAGAGGTATGTCCATCGCAATGACAGCAACGAAGAGAGCTTGCCACTGATAGGTTGAAGAGCGCACATCGTGAGTGGATAGGTAGCTCCATACCAGCCGATGTCTGTTGTAGCATGGAATTGAGTCGTTATCGAGGGGATGGCCTTGAGAGCTGATCTTAGTTACCCGAAGAATGACAATGAAAGGAGCAAGTTTTAGTGAGCTTACAGTAGCAATGATAGAAACATCCAATGATATCAGGAACGTGGCTATCATGATACCGGTCAAGATGCTGTACAGCTTCACAGAACCAACGGCATGTGTCCTGCACACTACGTCAGGTGAATTTGAAGACATCAGGAAGAAGTTTGATCATGATCAAAGCGTTAGATTTGGTGTTCATGGCAATCACCTTTTATGCTAACCCTATTCCCTGACAGTTACTGAATTGGGTAGTCTACTGGTAGGGTAGGCCGGCGCCGGTTCCGGCCCCGTGACCGACTCGAGGCCGACTCCGATCCGCGCCGTCATTGTCTGTCTCCGACACTCTACTTCACCGTTATTCACCACCCTAGACCAAAGTATATCTCAACGCAGAGTGCAATGCATTCAAAAACCCCGTCAAGGCGGCATGCGTGTATACGATGTATCCAGTTGAAAGCGAAATGCGTCTTAGTTGACAATGGACGGTGTCAGCGATGTGCGCGACTTGATCGCCACTGTACTTTCCCAGACGGCTCGCTCAGGAATACAAGCATCAGGTTCGCCCATGACCAGTTACATTATGCCAGTGCAGGCTGTTGGGTAACATTGTACTTCTGTCTTTAGAAATAGCCGCATCGATACCATTCAGCACCAGGTCGACAGACTTGCTGCTCAAGTGCACGCTGATAAGGTATCTACTCCGAACTGATCCAGGCCCTTGCCCCCCGGAATATTATACATTAAATCTTCATCGATAGGACTCGAGAATTTATCTGACACCCGTATCAGAAACGCAAACCTGTTCTGTCAGCAGCACGCCCAAAAGGCGCAACGACTTCATTGATAGAGAACTTCTCAATATTGCGGAAGGTCAAGAGCTCCTCCTGAAATTTCGCACGGAATTGATGCCTCTATTCCCATTCGTCCTTATACATGAAGCAAACTTTGGTATATTGCGTGAGACTTCTCCGTTTCTCCTATTATGCATCATGACAGCTTGTCTCGAGCACAAGCCCGCTCTCCAGCAAAATTTCGAATTGGAAGTTCGATCTGTGATATCTACCCGTATAATGATGAATATGGAGAGGGACATGGACATACTTCGTGGCTTGTTGGTTCATATCGCATGGTCTCATTATCATTGGCGCAACTACCATACCCAGGTGTACATGCTTCTTCAGATGGCCATGGCTATCGTTGTCGACTTGGGGCTTGACAGATACGACAACTTCAGAATGCGACACATTTATGACCATGAGGAAGACACACAGGGTTCACAGGAGGGAGAAATACTCCATCTGACCCCTGACGGGCAGCGCGCATTTTTAGGTTGCTATTATTTATGTTCCAAGTGAGACTTTCGGAGCCTGACACTGTTATCCACTAACGCGATAAGGGCGTCAATATTCCGGCGGCAGCTAAACATGAAACATACGTACTGGGTCAATTATTGTGCTGAATGCTTAGGGCAAAGGGCAGAGTACCCTAGTGACCAGTGCATCAAAGCACTGATTGAAATCCAATTGCTTGCTCGAAAATCAGAGCTAGAGGTCGAAGACCCTACTCATACAATAAACAACGACGAATTGGTTCAATCTATTGACGTACTTGAGGATCTCATAGAGCAGCTTCTCGTACAGAACAAAAAATGTAATACCTGTATGTTTGTCTGGCACTGTTCAGCTTCGTCATTTACTTACTTGAATAGGGGCGCTGCGATTGGAGCTCAATGCAATTCCCGCAATTGTTCTCGGGCATGCACTTAGCCAAAGGGATAGCCACCACCAGTATAATCAGCATCGGCTGCTTCGTATTGCGCGTTCCGCATTCAACATTGCGACAGTCTTCCTCGCAACGCCGAATTCAGTCACACCTAATCTCCCTATGTTCAGCTACACCTCTATCTGGTACGGCCTTCTTGTTCTATCGAAGCTGAGCTTGCTTTCCGATGCCGTCACAGGAGACAAGACAGTCGAAGTTCATAGCAGAGATATCCACAACCTTGGTCTTGCGGCTATGCAGAAGATGGAGACAATGTCACGAGGCAACGATGTTTGGGATAATTGCCGTGCAGTGGTCGGGTCTATGCTCTCATGGCTAGAGAAAAGTCGCACAAGGTCTAGAGAAGTACAACTTCATGAAGAACAATCAAGGAAACAGGAAGTTGAGAACCCCGATCCATTGCCGGAGGCAGTACCTGAAGATTCCCCTCTAGTCACAGAGCCCGCTGTGAGCGAAGATTGGGATGCTACGGTATGGCACCAGATGCTACAAGATCTGACATGGATAGGAGGAATTCCAGGGGCCTTGAATAGTAAAACCTCTTCCACTGAATGATATATTATGATCGACTGAAAGGGAAGGGTGCATGCCTGAGTAGGAGTAGTAGGTGGAGAAGTATGCCACCACCGCCCGACATGGCAAACCACTATTTATAATGTAGCCTCTAGTTCTGGAAGACTGCGCGCATTGAGTGCATGGTGCCCGGACAGCTTAAAGTCACTTGTATGCTTTCACTTGCCCCATGTCACAGTCTCCGTCACAGCCAACCATCAGTCACAATCACTGTTGTGACGTTTTGATAGGAGGCACGGGCGGTTTGAGAAGGCTGAGTGTGAAAGCCTAGAGCTACTATCAATCCTAAAAGCTGTGGAAAGCCATGACGAGAGGGACTTGGTTAATCTGGAGATAAAGGACTATCTACCCTGAATGGACTCGTCACTACAGCGGGCCAGTTCCTTTCTGCATGGCTGCGGGACAGATATCAGATTATGTGGGCGTCATGTGAGGAGGCATGGGAGGCCTCAGCCTCGAATGCACTTGTCGTTTATTGCTTGTCACCCAAGGGGTTGCCGGCACCATAGAACTTTGATGTCCTTTGCACCACCAGAACCAGCAGCCATGACAGCTATAAGCCTTCATGAGGTGATCTTTGTGGATCAGATCAAGAAGTCACCGGTATCTTGTATTTTCCGCACGATATGGTGCGGGAAAGATTGTGCCTTGAAAGTGGTAAGTGTCGTGAAGCAGTCGGCCTATTATTCTTGCCACGGCTATTGACCCTTTGATTACACGTAGTATCGCTCTCCACAGCCATTACCTGTCGGACGTCGAACTCGCCCACGAAATCGTGAGGCCAATCCATTAAAGTGCGATAGCACAGCCTTGATGCGACTACGAGAACATGGCTTTTGTGACCGAGGAGATATCCCAGATTTCTATGGTCTAATCAAACACATAAACCCAGTTTATTATCTACCATATCTACAAGACTTCGTCGAGGTCCTCTGTATTTGAATGCGATCTTGATGGACTATGTCCCAGATATGCCCTCAATCGATCTATCGAATTACTCCGAAAGACGACTCCGGAAGCTCCAGCAGATACTGTTAGAGATGCACCGTGCTGGTGTTTACCATGGGGATCCATATCCTCGCAACATGATGGTTCAGATAACATCTGATAGAGTATTATGGATAGTCTTCGATCGCGCGCAGACATTCATGTCCGAGTCGATCAAACAATCTCACCTGGATTGGTTGGAACGTGAACAAAGATGATGGATGAATTTGTTGATGGCCTGGTTAGTCTCCGATGCGTAGCCCTTCTCCTTTTCTTATCAAAACCTAACCCAACGACGGTGCAGACAGCCGATGCTAAGCTTGGGAGGATTCATGAGGCCTGGATTTGCTACTATGAGTATGTAAATCGATACCACGGTAGTATATCCAACAGACTAATATATCGCAACAGAAGCTTCAGACCCCCTGGGAATGAAGGGAAAGAAAGTGTCGCAAAACAAAACATATGGGGGCTATAGCGACTGCACGGGTTAGAAGGCTCGAAGTCACTTCTTGAACAAGTTTACTCTTTGGTGGAGGTGTAATCACCACTGGTGCCTCAGGAATCAACAAGTGTGGGATTACCTTTGGAAGGGAGAAACATTGAACCGACAAGGCAGAATCTTGATTTGGTAAGTGATTCTCCAGGCCCCCCACTTCTGAGTCTAACCCATTAGAGTTCTTTGATTCCATGATTCCATAGTTCACTGGGAGTTAAAAAGTCAACAATTGACTTTCCCCTATTGCAACGCCTTATTGAACATGGCCTATGGCCCTTTGAAAATATATCAAAGCATACTATCTACTGTCATGGCAGCGATACACGGTCACTGAATGCCCAGGAGCTGAATGAATACACTCTCGCGAATTACTTACCCTTTATATACTAGGTTGATCCCAGGTATACTAAGTCGAAGATCAGACTGCTAGGCGAACAATACCTTGTTGCTTACTCCGGTCTCTGCCTCCGCTCTGATGGCTGACATTGGTCCGTCATGATAAACTCTGGGTTGAGCTGCCGAATACGAGGTCGGCTGACCCCCACTTCTTCTTCCACGCAGGCATCAACAACTTTCTCGTCATCATCATCGTCGTCATCATCACCATAGTCTGCGCGCCTCCCTACCATCTTGCCCTGCATCTCCACGACCACAGTCCCCAACTGACGGCAATTCACCAGAATGCTTCGCAAGAAAGAAGTCTACACCAACACTATCTCCCTCCCCTCCAATATCCCTCGTCAACTAGCCATCGATATCCTCCACAACCACGGCGAGATCATCTCCCTCAACCCCCTCGTCATCTCCCACCACCCCATCAAAGCCCCGCGCAATGCTCCAGCAGATGAGTACTACTCAACATGGTACGAGATTACTGAGCGAGTGCGCTACGTCCCCGGCACGATCAGCTTCAGAGCCTGCTTCCACGACGAACCCTGGGGGCTGAAAACCCACACCTACGCACCCATGGGCGTTGATCTGCGCAACACATATCGCATTGTGGAGGACCCAATCAATGACCCGTCACTTGAACTCGCAGTTACAGAGTCCGTGGGGAATAATAAAGGAGGACTGTGTCTGCGCGAAGACGTCGAGATCGAATGCAACTTAACACTGATTTCGTTCGTGAAGAGCCAGCTGCGCGCCGCATCCAAGGTATTAGTGGATCGCCTGATCAAGAAGGCCGAACTCCTCGATGCAGGTGTCCTGCATGGTATCATGGAAGACGGGGTGCTCAGGACGTATAACCCAGCGGATCGGACACACACCGCCGTTATGATGCAGCCGGATGAACGGTCCCGACGATCGTCATACCAGGTGCCCATGTCGCCGAGTGAGTATTCACGGTCGGAGTCAATGACTTCGCAGACGCCCTATGCCTTTGCGCAGCAGTATCGGCAGGGTCGTAAGCAAGAATTTACGGCGGAATTACCGGCTGATACGTATTACCCCATGTCGGAGCCGGGAAAATATAAAGTACCACCAGATGGAGGATACCCGGCTGAACTGCCAGCAATGAACGAGAGGCCTGGAGGGTAGTGCCTTTCGATGTACACATGTCCCATGATTGATGGACATCTTGGAAGTATTCTGGATGAAAATTCAAGCATATTCTAGGTACAACGATACCCACTCTCCTTTGAGCAGATATGCAGCGCCACATCTCTTGTGTGTCTGAACTTTATATACAGTCCTCCAGAACCAACCGCTGGCAGACCCTGCATTAGACCAGACCCATAATGGATACACTCGACAGACCTACCAACCGACAGTGCATAGCCCGCGTCGTACTCTACTTTCTCGCACAGTAAGGATCTTTATACCGATACCGGTGCCTATTCACCATGCGTGCATGTCAAGAAATAAAACGAGTCGATTGTCAATCACTGCTTCAAAGGGCGGCTCCAGGAGCGTTGGTATGCTTCGTGGTTATTACCCGACATTTGAAGGCATGGATCCATTGGCGATGTTTCGTTGAGGTATCGTGCTAAACTTGTGGGATATGAGACATTTTTGTTAAAAGAATATGCACATGCACACGCAATATTACACATGAGCCTCTTTTCATACCGGCTCTATTGTGGGAAGTACTTGATATATTAGTACCTACAGACCGTGTCACTACTTTCCTATCATATGTCCTCAATTACCACCTCCTCTTCTTCTCCCTTTCCAGGAAGAGGGAAGGTAGTACTCATAATGTATAAAGCACCCTGCAGTCTACGATGAGCCGTATATCTTCCCAACTACCCGAGTTGTTCATGGAGAACTGATCCTACCCACCTTCGAGAACGCAGAGTAGATAACTGCGACATTATAGACAGTCATAATGTTTACTGGGCCATCAAATTATGAATCCATTACTACAACAAAGTGTCCAAAAATCATCGATATCATATAACATGTCTCCATTGGAATAGTATGTCACAGTAACCTGTACGTCAAGCAATGATTCACTTCTCGCCCCTATTCTACCACCTATCATCATGATTCTTAGATCCAGATGTTGTGCTACCGCCGACAGACCCAGGAGGATCTTCTAAAGAAAGTTTATTCCCGTCACTGCCAGCATCATTCTCTGGATCAACAAACTCCGAGTAAAGGCCCTCAACGTCAGAAGGCGAAGTCGGCCAGGTATCCTGAAATTCTGGCTCGCCGCTGTCCCATAATTGGAACTTGTGAACATGCGCGTCAGGTCCAGGGACCGGCTGGTCGCCCAAGTAAATGTCTATCTGACCATAGCACTTTCGACAGGCCAGGAAGTTCTGGCAAATGGAACAGTCGTAGGCGATTCCATAGATACACTTGAGTTGGAGAGAGAGTGAAGAACGGTTAGTATACCCACTGTGCCAGAAACAAGCATGATGCAAATAATGTAAGAGGTTACTCACCGTGAAGCATATTCCACAGAAATACCCATGAGGTCGATTATATACTTTGCTAGACGGATCCTGACTGTCAGAAATACTACTGCCTAAAGCCTCTTGGAGAAGACCGATTATTTCGTCAACGGCATCATGGAGACGGGCTAGCTGGAGTGGCGTATACAAGTCATGTTCACTGCCCATTCGGCAGCGTACCGTCGGATCCGCCCCATTTTCCAGCAAGCACCGAACGGTTTCTGCATAATTGGCCGGCTCGGAGGGCATATTAGGGTCCCAGAACAGCTCCGTGGGCCGAAGTGCCCAGCAGAGCGGAGTCCAGCCATCAATATCGGTCTCATTCACATATCGTCGCCGTTCCGCCGGGAGGTGCACATAGTTTAGAATTGTCTCAACGGTTTGTGCGCGGCCAAACTGCGCTGCCCAATGAAGGGGGATTTTCTTGGCTTTATCTGGCGCCATCAGAAACTTGGGAGCGGCGCGGTGTATCGCCTTGAAATTTTCCAGCCCGTTGGTAGCAGCAAAATGAATTGCAAGACGGCCCAGTGGGTCTCGAAGCTGAGGCGAGACGCCCTTGTAGAGCAGATAATTGATAATACTAACACCTGTCCCAAGACACGCAGCTGAAAGAGGATTGTGGACAATGAAGCCGTGCTCCGCGGCGATGTCGGCTCCCTGCTGTACCAGTTCGCGGACAAGGTGTTCCTGTCGGTCCAGATTTTCTTGGCGGTTCATTTTTCCAGAGGGTCGGGGGTTGCAGATGGAAATCAAAGGGGTAGAATTGGGCCCTGGTACTCGCTGGTTGACATCTGCTCCACGGGATATCAATTCCTTAACCGTGTCGAGTTGCAGATGTTGACAGGCGATGTGAATTGCGGCTCCCCACCCCTCTGTGACGCTATGAATATTCAAGCCTGGCTGGGATAAAAGCAGATCAATGAGCTCTGGTGGTCGCTCCAAGACCAAAGCATAGAGAAAGACCGTCCATCCTTTATCAGACGCCAGGTTGATGTTAGCACCGGCCCGAATGAGCGTTGCAACACATTCAAGTTCATTGCATCGGACAGCGGCCGCAAGAGCAGTGTCCTTCTCACTATCTTGTGCATCGATATCCAGTACATTGCGATATTCAAGCAATATCTTGAGAATGACTATTCGCCCCTTAATTGCAGCCTGGTGCATAGGTGTTTGCCCTCCGGGTGTTGTGTCTGTCGATCTAGCCCCAGATTCCATCAAGATGCGGACAGCTTCTTCATTGGGAGTCGTTCCGCAAGCATCAAGGAGTGGACTCCACCCCGCCTCGTCCCGGTGGTGAATGTTCACACCTCGCTTGATGAGCACCCGGATAGAATCAACTTGGCCTTGGCTGGCAGCCTTGTTGATCGCGGTCGAACCATCGCTGTCTTCTAGTTCCGGATTGGCTCCCGCGTCCAAGAGGAGCTGAAGAATTGGAGCTTCCTCGATGGCGAGTTGAAGCATTGTAGTCCCCTGCGCGTTCTTCTCTATGAGTGGGGAGCCCTGTTCGAGCAGGAGTTGCGCGGCTGCGTCATGATGCCCTTCCACGGCATAAAACAGTGCATTCTGCTTTTTCTCATCAACTAAGGCAATGTTTGCGCCATGCGACAAAAGCCACCTGACGACATCGCAATCCCCAGATGCTGCAGCATACATCAGAGGTGTCATAGCACGGTACCAGCAGTGGTCGACGGCATTGACATCGACCGGGTTAGAGTGGTTAACTAGAACATCCAAGATCTCAAGCTTGGCATCCAGTTGCGTCGTCTTCTGGGACAGAAGCACTGGAAAGGCAGGTTGGTGAAGCTCGTGGTTGGGATTCGCACCGTGGTCGAGGAGCAAGCGAACACATTCTGGATCTCCAGACTCGCAGACAGCCAGCGACAGAGCCGTGATATTGGCACCCGGGCCCCTCAGATTAGGATCAGCCTCACTGTCTAAGAGGGATTGAATAGTTCTGGGATAGCCATATAAGGCAGCAATACAAAGAGGCTGCCACCCTCGCTCAGCATCGTTGCCGTCAAATCGGAGGTCTACGCTGGCGCCGAGCTGTACCAGAGTTTTCACTGTCTTCCACAAACCTCGGGAACATGCCGCGTAGAGGGGTGTGCATGGTCGGGGCGCATCCAAGAGTGCGTGTTGGACAGCCGCAATTGACCGGATGGTGTGATCAGCTCCTTCTGCAGCTGCATTGAACATGATGCCAACATGGCCATCCTTAAGAATATTAACGTCAGCACCTCTTTTCAGTAAGGTCTGTACGATCTGGTAATGGTCCAGCCTGCATGCTAGGTACAGCGGGGAAGGATAGAAGATGCTAGGATCCGGGGGAGGATTGGGGTCCATCCCATACTTCAGAAGGGTATCCACCACACGTCCCATGTCTAGAAAAACTGCTCTCCATAGAAGGGAAACGGATAAGGAATCATGGGACTGGTTCAGGTAGTAGAGAGCAGCATCTTCATCCCCTACCCGCATGGCCTCAGAGAGCCCTCCTACCCTGACAGGCAGTTCATGTCCACCTTGACTTAAAAGTTCGTGGAGCCCAAAACTCTGGAGCCCCAATGTCAGAAGGGACACGCCTGCAGGGTCCAGATCACACACTTTCGGCCGACAAAAAGGGTTCTGCATGGCCCAATAAACTTTCATCCAAGCGCTCAACGGTCCATCGGGCTCTAGCAGGACTGGTGCAATTTCTTGAAGTGCTACTGGGGCCTTCGATAGGTGATATGGGAACGATTCAGTCGCATAATAGATTATATCCCGACCATCTGACATCAGTGGTGGAGTGATATGCTCCTTGGAAGAGTAGACCCTCTCTTGATATTCATTGTAGATGCTCAGGAGCTGCCTCTGAATCCTCGCCGAAGTCAGAAAACTATACAAGAACTTACAGGTCCACTGAGGCCCCACCGATCGGATCTCAGTCCATAGGTAACCACCATCGCGTGCGAAAACATCCAAGGTCTCTTGACGTATGCGAACTGGGTTCTGATCTGGTTCCAGCAGCCCGCTTATCCAGGCGATCATATCAGACTGATCTGTCCTGGATTCGTCATTCATGTCCAGCCGTTTGGCTTCTGACTCAGAGTGATAGCGACAGAACATGGCCAGTTCCTGGGATGTCAGTGGCCGATATCCACACAAGATCCATGTGAGTGTTGAGCGAAGCCAAGTGATATCTGGGATAGCCCGTAGAATCTCATCGAGGACATTCGCAGCCGTGCTGTGTACAGATAGACGGCTGAAGAACTGATGAAAACGCATATATGTCCGTGATGATGGTATTTGGGGCCATCCCGTATAAGACGAGATAATATTAATGATGGTACTGAGAACATCATAATCCATCGATGCGAGCTCACTTAAACGGCCTTGCATGTAAGCTTCTCCGTGCCCACAGGGACACAAACGCGATATAAGCATTTCACTGCGACAGTGTTCCTGTCCGCAGTCATCCGGCTTGTTCAATCCTACTCTGTAACAGTGTAGGGTCATGTTAGGAGCACTCAGCTGGAGCTCTTCCTTCAAAGCGTCGGGTCTCCTAGAAGTTATGAGAAGCTTGGGACGCATGTCTGTAAAGCCATAGGCTTTGGCAATGGCCTTCCAGTACCCCTTCCGACTTTCGGCGGTATCACAATCGTCAGCATTCTGTAGGCACAACACTCTACTTTCTATGTGGTCTCGCAGCATTAGGCACAAAATGTTTTGCAGATCCTTGGCGGTCCACCCGTGCTGCAGCAAACTCTGGTTTTCCAAGAGCCAGGTAGTGAAGTTGGGCACGCCTTCGACGAGGCGCGAAAAGCTGTACACCAGAAGGGTACTAACCATGGCGTCCATCGAGTTACGCGCTTGATCATGGCGGGAGAAAGAGAAAGAGTGTATTTCGGCGTCATCTAGGCTTTTATCGAATCGCTCCCGTTGCCATGCTAGAATAACCTGCTCAGCTGCCTCGGTAGTCAACCGTTGGTCTTCACCGTGGATATACAATATCTGGGGGCCTCTGGATGTCTTCCACAATTTATATTCTGAGCTTCTAAAAATTGGATGTGAGTCTATGACGCGTGTTGACAGGAACTGACGGTGCGGAAGGGCCATTGATAGTAGAGATCGTTCAATGGCGATGCGCAATGATGATCCATTCCAGCTGCAAGATCCATTGAAGACCATGTCAGACAACCTAGAGATGAGCGGGCTATGCGCTTCGCCGGTGGGTTCTTCGGGCAGAGCCAACTCAGTACATATACCTAGAACCGCGGTGGATTCATCAAATACCTAGAGTCAGACCTCAAGTCAGAAACAATATACCTCACATAGACCTGTCTATAATGGTGTTTGATCACTCACTGAATCGATCCTTCCCGGTGTCTCCTGATTGGCATAGATGCTAATTATCCGAGTGCGCAAAGTGATGCGGGAGCTGAGAAACAGACCGGTTGATTCCATGGCGGTATTCGCCAACGCCCTGATTGAAGTTGGACTGATGAGATGGCCCCATTCTTCTGTTTTGTATGTCTCTAGAAACTTCCATATTCGGGCATCGAATGAGGGGGCATCCGTCCTGCGGTGGAAACAGCCCGCGAAAATCTGTCACCATGTCAAAATGAGACCTAGTGCTCGCGTTTCGTCAAACACCGCCATGATCAACTCACAAATCTCACAGTATCGGTGAATATACTGGTCCAAATTGTTTGATGAGAACCAGAAAGCGCAACAGCCTTTACATCCATGTTGTCAGAAATATAGCCTGGTACCAGCGGACTGCTAAGTGTGCTTCAGAGGAGAACAAACTCTTTCCACAACCAAGGCCCCCAGCTCATAAGCGATAAAGATGATAGATCGACTGTAACTAGACTTCTTCATGTATTGTCAGTATATGTTGCCCTTCTGTGAGAAGTGAATACGTATAAGTCCGATAATCTTAGAACACCTACCCCTACGCTTGACGGTCGAAACTGGAGTAACCCAGCTAACAGTTGCAGTGCCTCTTTCTCAACATAGTACCCAGTCAGATCTCCTAAGAGAAAATGACTTGCATTGCTTTGGTATACGAACTCTCGTCGTTCCGCGTGAGAGGTGAAGTGATCACCGAAGACGGCTTCCAAGCTCATACGTTCCGGCCGCGAGATTCCCATTACGTGCACGATACTGTTTTATTGTATCTTAGTAGGCAGGGCATAAATCGCTGAAGGGCATTGTCTTACTCCACATATTCTGATGAAGTATCATCCTCGCTGGCCTCCTCAGGTATAAATGTTGGTAGTTGCTCGGAAAGTTCGAGGCCGTGGAAGGCCTGACCTATCTTGAATGCAACAGGGTGTTTCGATGACTCCCCCATAATCCTCTGAGACGCATAGGGGTAATAAAATTTTTAGTTGAAGAAAGAAGGATAACAAGCAATTTATGGATGTGTTGCCTCTGAGTCATTCATGGACGACAATCTGTAACTGACGGGAAGTCGCGTCCGTGTAACCCTTTCTTCCCGAACCAAATTAGCCTAAGATTACTGGAGAGGGAAAACCCACCCAGAGATATTACAGGTCAGTCTCACTTCCTAGCATACACAATAGCCCGATTCCAACCATGCAACATGGGAAGGGATACCCGATAGGACACAAAATATCCGATTGGTGGGGACCCTTCAAGAGAGGGACATGCGAGCCTCGCGAGCTAATCAAACACCCTAGGCATTTACTCCATTAGGGTATCACTCACACGGTGTTGCCTTGGAACACACCAGGGGTCAATCATAGGCGTATGGTAGTCATAAGAAGGATCTCCCCTATGTGTCCTCCCTCGGAGGCTTCTAGCAATTCGACATCGAATCAATCTATCATTTTAGTACGCAGCACACGAAACAGTACTGCAAGACAATGGGTCTTGGCTTTGATGACGAGCTCTGGTTGAGCGACCAGACTGAAGAGGACGAATGCGGGCTTACAGATCACGGTCATTTTCCTTGGAGTTGACATACCAAGGTCCTGCTGGTGGTAAGTCAATTCCTAACAAATGAAAATACTACTCTCTCGTTAGATCCGTGACTTCATTATTCGAATTCGATTTCACTCCCTGATGTGACTGACATCTCTGTAACGCGGACGGACGGCAATAGACTTCCGGACTCGCAACAGACCAGGCCAGCTACAGAGACCCATGGTGTCCAATTTTGAGATGGGGCGACGACGCAAGTCTGCCTACCAGGTCAGCTGTGAGGCAAAGGCTATGATCCATGGCCGGTGGGGAGGGAGAGGCCAGGACGCGTGCGACTTGGCCACTCTGTTGGTGTATGAGTTCCAGTTCCATTCCTACCGTGGATGCCGACTCAAGGCAGCCGACATTCGCTTCCGATTCGAGCCGATACCAGGTCAATCAAATGAACTGTCTGTCGCTGAGATTCAGCCAAATGGTGTATTTAAAGTTGCACGCACCGAGCAATCCGAGCAATCCACAACCGGCCTTGAGCTTACGCTTGGGTCCCAGCCACTGGCAGGAGCTGTGAACACTTCAATCGCTGTAACCAATTCGAACAATGTGGAGAAGGTTACATTGCATCACACGGTTGTCACTGGCGACCGACCTGCAGATATCTACGGCAGTCAGCATGAGGCACATTTTTCGCTGTCAGAGAACGTATCACAGCAGGACGGGATTCCTACGCGACTGAGAGCCTGTATCCTTTTGAAGCGGGGAACGGAGGATGACTTTGCTTGTGTTCCCTACATCCATGTCACTCCAGACTTTAAGACTTGGGTTGGACAGCTGTTCTCGTCTCGGGACAGGGATGATCCTGTCCGATTCCGTCCCTCTGAGCCGGCGTTCGATCAGCTGGAAAAGGGGATTGTAGTTGACGCGGAAAATCTGGGAGCCACCAATCTAGATCGGCTGTGGGGTTGTACCATGTATACAACATGCAATGATGTTGTTGAGTCATTGTAGGGGAAGGCTAAACGTAAAGAAAATGCCGTACCCTCAGTTCCCAGACCTTATGAAGACAAACATAGCTAATCTTCAGTGTGAGCGTGGCCTCTATGGTGTTAGTGATGCTACTTTCCGCATAGCTAACGTAATATACGGGGACCTCGATCATTTCCTCCTAGTGGTATTTGTTGTGGTTCCTGCCTCAATATCTCATAGTGTCTCTCCTAGTTCCCCGGCTATGGACTCTGAGCTGGACGCTACATCTGGCGATGCCGCGTGCAGTGAGGCCGAGTACGAGTGGGAAAGATTGTCATGGGAGGAACGAGTGAAAGATTTGACGGGACAGTTAACGAATGGAAGGACATGGGAAGAAATGGAGTCAACAGTGAGCGAGTTTCGCGATTATGATAACAGAGCTGTCCCAACCATACTTCATCACCTGTCGATGGACAAGTTTGCACATGGATTCTACGACCTTCCTGAGTCTACGCGCGACTGCATCCTTGATTCTCTCCTTCGAGATCATCTGGAAGAGCAAAGCGCAACTGCAGACCACGTTCAGGCCAGTACAATAGGGAAGGATAAGCAACCTTATCCCATTCTCACTATTGCCCTCGAAAATAGCAATACTGGGTTCCTTAACACCATCGCGACTCGTTTTCAGCACCATTTGCCACACCTTCTCAAGATCTCCCATAAAGGTGATGGTCGCAACCCACTACACGAGGCATTTTCAATCCTTATTTGGTGGTGGCAGAAGGATATGGGTCGGGTTAAGCGCAGCAGCTACAGGCAGGCAAAGGAGACAGAGTTGGAAATGCTCACGCTGATCATCCAAAAGTGGGTCGAACTGGCCCCAGATTCGGCCATCGCGGCAAAAGACGATCATGGTAATACTCCTTTGCATTATGCAATGCATTATAACCTATGCTACTACTTGAACTCGAAAGTCTACCGACCAGTCGTTGTCGCTCTAATCGACAGGAGCCTCTGTCGCCGGATGCAGGTCGAGGATCAACTGAACGGAGTTGGCAAATCTCCCTACCTGATTTATCTCGAGAGTGAAGCCGATTTCGCTGAGAAGAGACGTACTTCATCTTCTTGGATGCCTGATACAGCGAAAATAGCTTCTGGGTCGAAGTCAGATCGGCCGGAACTCGGACTCGAAGGGAAAAGGACGGAAGAAAAGAGAAAGACGGGTGAAGATACAAAAAGTAGAAAGACGCAGGAAGTGTTCAAGCCGCCCCATATGCCTTCGCATTCAGAGCTTCCCAAATTCGACAAGGTCACAGTGCCGCCTCATTCGACACAAAACCCACAGTGTGCCCAGGATAACAGTAAGGCTACAGGACCGGCGTATACCCCACAGTTCCCATCGCCGATGCCGCGCTCAAGTGCGACCAAAGAGCTGACACCCAATCAAATACAGCTAGATGAAGCTGACGACAAAATCAGAAGGCAGGCTGCAGATTCAATTCGGCAGTGCCTCAGGATGTGGTATATACGAAACATGTCCGACGCGGATGCCAAGAATTTGCTGTATGGCAATATCGCATCAGGTAGGTACGCACCATTCGAAAATATCGTCCTGAATACTTGAGAAGTTAATGTTGCTGTTCGTTGCATTCTAGACAAGAATTTGTACTTCGATGCCACGCACCTGAGAGGACGGGGGGCAGCGCAGATCGTCCAATTAATTAAAAAACTAACCCGCGCTGGGGGTTTCGAAGACACTCTGTCCTACGTCAGAATCCCCCAAGTGTCAGAGCCAGACGGGCTCCCAGAGGCTGCTACTATATCCAATACAGCCAACGAGAAAAGAGGGATCCATAGTGCATCTGGCCCCAAGAAGGCCTTGATGGGACGCATTTCACTAATCTCCGTCTTCGGTGAGCTGGCCCTTGCAGGTGTACGGCACATTGTACGGCTCCAAGTCGAAGACAACGGCGATTTCATGACCCATTCAGACGCAGCTATTGAAAGGGCTATTACTGGATCGGATCACCGAGGCGAGTCAACCTCCTTCGGTACTAGAACCGCGGCCTTGAATATAGAAACCTGGTAGTCCTCTCCCTCATCCGGGTCAACCTGGACATTTTCCGGGCTCACAATATATCCTAGGGATTGGCGAAAGCCAGACATAAACATTGAACTGATTCACGATGCGGAACCCAACGTGAAGTCCATTCACCTGCACTGGAGCGGGGGTCAGACCGTTCTTCGTGGGTGGGCGGACGCAATCCTAGTGCTTCACACGCAATTCAAGGAGCTAACCTGTGTCTATCTGCATACATATCAGGTACTAAACTTTGTTCTACGATATGAGTATAAGAACTAACTCCCACATCTCCACACTATAGGGATCTGAGACTAAAGAGCGAACAGACATCATGATAAAGATATTCAAAGAAAAGGTAGAAAGCATAACAGAGAATAGAGTACAGGTGAAAAACGAATTCCACAAGGAAAGGGTGATAGACACACGAAATGATGAAGAGACTTGTAATATTCCCAGCCAGGGCGACTCTACAAACGAGAAGCAATATCTTTGGATAAATCGGCTGGAAGGCTTTCGTGATGCGATGCTGGAGGTGCATAAAGTTTCTCCGAAAGTTGAAGCGGATTTACCACGAGTTAAAGTAGGATCCCTGGCTTGCTTATGTTACTACTTAACCTGTCCTAACCATGCCAACTCTTCAGGTTGCCCTTATCGACGATGGCCTAGATTACGGTGATTTCGACGTTTATCTACACACAAAAGTGCGAGGTATCCACGCACTGGGCAGACCGAACATCCATGGCACAAGTCGACCAACGGGCATGGAACTGCAATGGCCAATATGATCCTCCGCATAAATCCGTGGATACATCTCTTGGTCATTCGAATCGAGGATGGCATCTCCTACGCGAATGCAGGATCGCCGTCGCGGACCATCCAACCCGACAGCGCTGCCCGCGCCGTCGAGGCGGCCATCAAGCACAATGTCGATGTGATATCCATGTCGTGGACCATACGCAAGCAAATTTCACAACTGCACAGCTCACCCGTTGATTCTGGATCATTGGGGAAGAAGTCAATTGGCGAGGCTGGGATCGAGCGACTGGAAAGGGCCATAAGAAAGGCGGCGGTAAACAATATTCTCATGGTGTGTTCTGCAGCAGACGATATAGCACTCCTTGGGAAGGACAATCTACCCTTCTGTGTAGCGGAGCACAATATCTTTCGCATCGGCTCCTGCGATTCTCAAGCGCAGCGTGACCCCATGACTGAAAACAGAACAACCATTTCCTATTTTCTCCCGGGGATTCAAGTCCCGGAAGCACAAAGACCACACTCCTTGAAACCAACCGTATATCATGACGGGTCTTCGATAGCCACTGCGCTGGCTGCAGGGTTAATATCTATTATCCTCCATTGTGCTCGCTGGGTAGACCAGTGTCAAGAAGCTCAAGAGCCCGCACAGAATGCCTCCAGTGAGAAAAATCCATTTCGGCACTTGGCAAAGAACCTTCGTATCCACAAAAACATGCAGATCGCATTGAGAAATATTGCCAGATCACATGGGTCAGAGGAGCCAGAAGATTCGAAACAGCTTCCTGTGTATCGTCTTTTTGCAGACACAACCAACAAGTTGAACAGTGCCAAGGCGTGGCAGAAGGTTGAGAGGTTGGGGGATTTAGTCATGTACCTATGTCATGACATTGAGGCCTGGTGAAATACTTTCAGGGCTTGAACGCGGCCCGGCTCAGTCCGGTCTGCCGCTTCAAGGGCTCGCCTAATGTTCGCGTAATACGATTACCTCAATACTTCCAAAGAGTGAGTTATCGAAACACCATGAATTCAATACACCACGATTTGCAAATTGCCCTCGACTGCCTGTCCGACCAACATATATATCACAAGTACACAATGATATGTATACCCTACATTTGCCTCAAATTCTCAAAGGCCTATCTAGCAGTCACTCTTTATTCTTTGCCAGCACCATTAGACGAGCTCCATGCCTTATACCTATCATAGTCCAGCCACGACAGCGTAACCAGATAATGCATAGCGAGGGGGACCAGGGGTGATACTGTTACCAAGCCTCAGGGGCCTATTTGCGTCACCCAGATCAACCCTGTTGGGTTATCATCGAAACCTAGAAGATATAAAACACTACCGCAGGTCATATTGCCCGCTCAATCATCAAAAGCTGACCATTCGACCAGAAGCAATTCTTGGTGACGTCAGTAATCAACAGGTCCAGCCGACATTAGAATAACGCAAAGCCCCGAGTCTTCCCGTCTACTCACTGACCACTATTGGTCTAATCGTTAGGAGATTAGCACTGTCCTCATTAGACTCCACATACTACGCTAATGAAACTACTTAGGTTAGAACCCAAGCATATACGTACACGGTATCTTAATTTATCTCCCTTTTCGATAAGGCTGACATTCTGGTTTTGTGGCATTACTTATTTGGCACACTAAATGACCCAATGTGAGATTTCCTCTTTGCAGCCATTGGCATAGCAGTCTGTAGTAGCTCTAAAAATAACCCTAAAAGAGTCCACAATATAAGCCCAAAAACATTCCCCCATTGTAATTAGCCCCTTTATATCATCGTCACAGAGCAGTTCTAGACATTCAAGCCTAATCTTACATAGCACATTTGGACGGTCCGTTCGCCGTAAACTGCCTCATTTAGTCACTGCCTAGACAATCCTTCGCACCACTAAATTAGCCTCTAACAATTCGCCCGATCGGCCAGTCAGAAAATTGAATCCATCCTCTGATCCACTGTGGATCTGTACACAACAAAAATCCTTCGGGAGATGCCCGTTTGATTATCTAGTTCAATGAGTTCTCCTAGCCGGTGATTGCTCGACCATACTCCGCTTTTGTGTGCATCAGTCCACATTATGTTCCGTCGGCACACCGGCGCGCGTAACGGGACTGAGAGGTAAGGCAGCCTCATGCTTTCTTGTGTTTTTGCTCTAGCATAGTTGAGCAGGTATTCTGATTGTTGCCCAGAAATTCAACTTCTCGAGCAAATTTCGCCTACAACTAGTTATCAATGTTAGTAAAAAGCTGTATTTCGACATGCGAGACATACCTGGCAGCAGTTGGAGGGCCTGTGTGATCTTGAAGTTTGATAGGTAGTGGTCAGTTGTACCTGTGGACAAGCGGTAAGCGAAGATGAGATGAGAATTTTATTGTCTTTATCATACACAGAATTGGTCAGAAAAGGAAATCACTAGAAATTCGCCCACAATGAGGGAAACATCTACTTTTCTTCAGCTACGGCTTCCTCTGGTCCAGTTGTCGCTTTCTCGGTAATCCTCTCCCACTTCACCCCAAAAGCCAAGCAAAACGCCGCAGCTGTAGTCCCAACAGCGACATACTATAATCTCATCTGATTAGTTCCAAATAACATCAGTACCAGTGAAACAAAAAGCAACACTCACGAGAGTCGAAGTAATAGCCTGATTATAAGCCTCCAGAACCAAGTCCAGCAGATCTGGAAAATACTGCTTGACTGTATCACGCACATCCGCCATCCCAGCAGCAGACACCAGCGCAATCTGATCCGCATTCAAACCAGCATGGTCTGCTAGTTCGGGAAGTAGAATCGAGCGAAACACAATACCACCAAGTGATTGTGTAATAGTAGCCCCTAAGTACTGGAAGAAGAGATTCAATGAAATCGCGGCAGGCATAAGCTCTGGTTTGTCGCGCACAGAGTGCTGGATAATAAGCGATGGCATTTGCTGTGCCATACCGACCCCGAGACCCTGGATGACTTGGAACCCGATCCAGTGGCTGGATGGGGTGTGGAAGGTTGAGAAGTGCGTATATAGCGCCGCGGCGGTGCACATGAAGAGGGGGCCGATATAAAGCCAGGGGTTGTAGTAGTGGATTTTGCGTGCTGTCAATGCTATGTCAGAGTGTGCTCTAGCTTGATACGGAGAATAAGTGGGGTTTGAGTATGTTGAACGCACCAAAGAAGCCAGCAGACAGAGTTCCGACTATTTGAGCCAGCACCGAAGCCAATGTTCGCGTACCACTTTGCAACGGACTGGCGCCTTCCACTACCTGGAACCACTCGGGGAGATAGTAGTTCAGGATACCAACAGAGCCAAAGTGGAAGAAGGAGAACAAGACACTGAAGGTGATCGTCCTTCTGGCGACGATATTTCCCGGTATCATTGCGTCCTCACCCTTGTAGCCTTCCCAGGAAACAAAGATCATAAGCATGACACCAGAGCCCACAAAGAGTCCGATAGTTGTCGCTGAGTCCCATGACTCTTTCGTACCACCCCACATCATAGCGAGCAGTAACATGAAAATAGATGGAATGAAGATGGCACAACCAATGAGATCCAAATCGATAAACCGTTGGGCGGCCGTCCGATCCCGTTGTATGGATGGGGGTCTGAAAAAGCACAGCATGGTGAGCAGCGTTAGAGCACCAGGGGGAAGATTAACCCAAAAGCACCACCGCCAAGTAGCATACTGCGTAAATGCACCGCCAATGACGGGTGCTAGAATAAGGCCCATGGCGAAGCAACTGCTGCATATGCCGAGCAGCACTGGTTTAGATTTTTCGGGAGATACAGTGAGGACAATAACGAAGCCGCCACTCGCAACCCCGGATGCCCCGATACCGGCAATAGCGCGACCCGCGATAAAGGTGTTGCTATTTGGTGCAAAGCCGCACACTAGGCTGCCGATTAGGAAAATGGAGAAAAATGATACATAGATCCAGCGAAGCGGGAACATTGAGCTGAGCTTTCCTGCTAACGGAGTCAATGCGCATGTTGTGAGCGAGTATGCAGCTGGATACCAAGCTAATTGCGCGGTATCGTTAAAGTCAGCTGTGATAGATGGGATGGCCTAAACATGTTTAGATATACCGATAGACAAATGAGGGGAGTAGGAATAGTACAGTGGCGATGACGAAGATGTCCAGAGACATCAGAAACGCGCCAAAGCATATGCCTACAAAAATGGCAAAGAGCTTGAAACCGTGCATCGCATTCGGGTTTGTCTCTGGCACCCCATTGTTGACCTCAGTGC